GAGACTACAACATTTTGAATGACAACTATCAACCCCATCCCGTCGGCCTCGGGAGAGAGAAAGAAACAGAAAGTCTAGCCACATTCGCCAATCTCGGCTTCCGAGTTCCTGCTTTATCACAAGTTTACATCGCTCTCTTGTTCTGTTGCCCCCCTGGTTATGCATCGAAGACCGAGGCGGGGCCCCTATTCCTATTGCCTACCTGTAATACTTCGTACATCCTCTCGTACGGATCCATGTACTTTCGTATGCATCGCATGCAAAGGTAGACAACGCGGCTCGGTGCCCAACTCAGCAATTCGCTCAACCACGGCCGCAGCCGCGCTAGCGAAAAGTTCCAGGTTCTCAAGCTCAGCGTACGGCCAGGTAGTGTGTAATTCCAGGTTGGTTTCACCTGGTCCGAACTTGCTGCGGAACCCCAGTGTACCTGCGTCCCGGGATTCGGCCTGGAAACGTGGGTTCGTCGGCCACGGTCCTGGGCACCAACAAGTCCCAGCTCAACTTATACGAAGTGTCTCGATGTACTCCCTACACCACCACTCATAAAGTACACAACTGTGACAACCCAAACCCCCCCAGTCTGGCCCCACGAGTGACTGGACGTCAATCTTCAGCCATCGTTCGATTACCCAGAGTCTCCAAGGAAATGCTACCCCGATGAAGCTCCAGTGCTCCACGCCTGCCAGATGGGCCGCCCGCGATCTCTGCAAGCAACCCACCCTCGTAGTCCTCGCTCGCACCCCCAGTCTCACGGTCTGGTTCTATAGGCCAGCTTTTGTACAGCGAGACTCGCCTTTAATTTACACAGCAACCTGCTCCTTCGCGCCACGAAGTAGCATAGGAGGGGGCAAATGCGAGCGGCTTCGGGTTCTTTTCCTCCTTGGGCAGCATGACGGGGGAACACATCCGCCCCTCTCTTCCCACTTTCAGGCTGGAGTCACTGGACAGACTACACACTGCAGTCTATCCGTACAACCCGATCATCTCCCCCTCTCCCCATCTTTGTCAAGTAAGCTTGTTGACGGGAACTCACAGACATGAGACCATTTCGCAACGCCCAGAAGCTGTCAGAGAAGAAGATGGAAGGAGTGGAATGGACGGGACGGTTGCTTTTCTGTTACGCCACTGACGCTTGGTAGTCTCAACGGTCGCTAGTCACAGCGCCGACTGACATCGGGCACCCAAGAAACAGCAAATCCTCACATAGATCGACGGCGGGATGTTGTGGAACTTGGAAGAAAGTCCCAAACTTCTGGGTTCTTCCTCGGCCCCTCGATACCGGCTTGAGGCCTGGACCGACATTGTTCACAACTTGAGTGTCCGACACAAGGATACCGATCGAACTCTTGGCCGGTGAAAAAGATATCCTTGCCAGATGTAGAGCAGCAGGATCCAAGGGGGTGTGTGAAAGAAGAATCCATGGTGTAGGGATTAACCACCACCTCCGTCCTTCTCCCAGAAAGCAGCTCCATTTTCTCTTCCCACGGCCACACCCACATGACTGGTAACAGAATCTGTTTTGGAAAGCCAGGGCCGCCACAGTTAGTGTAAAGCTGTTCAGAGGAGAGGGCAGAGGCCACCGAGAGGTCCTCCTCGATTGGCCCTACCTACCTGCCTGCCTGCCGCTATTCCGTTTTCTTCTCTTGTATCCCGGCCCTGTCTTGCTGCAAGTCTGGGAAGAGAGAGAGAGAGAGAGAGGTTGACCTTTCTCATCGCATCTTGGTGGCCAAATTTCTCTTGTCTTTTTCTTGCCCTCCGTGGCAACCCCTACCTGAGTTGTACGTCTTCTACTCCAAGACGTGGAAGAAGAGTGTGAAAAAGGCGTTTCCTTTCCAAGCAAGCTGCAGTTTTACCCGAGGGGGGCAATGGCATATAGAATCTACCTCTATCCCCATCCCATTTTTTTGAACCGTTTTCCACGCCCTCGCATCAAATATCTGACCCCCGTTTGTTGGCCAAGGCTCTCTTGAGCTTGGAATAAGTCACTGGTCTATACCTTGGCACAAGTCTCAATTCGACAAGAGACCGGGAAGATTCAACATGTCGCAGGCCGTGGCGGCGCTGGTCCACGCGGCTCAGTTGAGGGACACGAGCAGCACCTCAGCGGCGCTGCCTCCCATCACCGACGACTACCCATACCCTTACTCGTCTCTGCAACATACCGGTTTCTTTGTGCTGTTCTTCTTTCCAACGATTGCTCTTCTAGTAGTTGGTCTACGGGTATACAGTCGAGTCACGACTAAGCAGTTCGGCTGGGGTAAGTACATCCAAGACATGTTCTTGACCGAGGAGAATCTCGACATGAGTATAACTCCTTCTCCCAATGCCTGATGGCTAACCTTGGGCTCTCCAGACGATGGCTTGATATGTTTCGCAATGGTGAGTTTTGAAGGCTCAAGTATTCATCTTTGGGCGGTAACTTACAATGAACCCCTCCAGGCAGATTCCATGGCCGAGACGGCAGCATCATACATGGGAATGCGTTTAGGCTTCATCGGCATCCACGTCTACGACATACCTCTAGAAGCCGACAGCCGCCTCGGCAGCCTCTGGAACTACATCATCCAGCTGCTGTACAACCCTATCCTGGCCATCGTCAAGACGTCGGTGCTCATGTTCCTGCTGCGGCTCAGCGGCCAGAAGAGGTCGGTCCGGTACGCCATCCACGCGCTCAACGTCTTCAACATTGCGCTGGGCATCGCCATCTTCACGACAATCATCTTCCAGTGCCAGCCCATCAGCTACTTTTGGGAAAAGGCGGGCCGGAACCCGCCGACGGAGGGCAAGTGTATCGACATGGCCGCCTTCTACGTCAGCACCGCCTCCCTCACAATCTTCACTGACGTGCTGGCGCTGGCCTTGCCATTTTGGATCTTTCTCGGGCTGAAGATGCCTCTCCGCGTCAAGATGGCGCTCCTTGCAGTCTTTGGTCTCGGTGCTGTGTAAGTCATAAGAATCACAACAAATCAACTTTGGTCACAACTCCTTTCTAATACATCCTATCTTGCAGTGTCACTGCCGTCAGCGTCCTCCGCCTCGCATGGCTGATCGAGATATCATACCACATCAACCAACAAGACCCGACTTACGACATCCGCTTCACCTACTCCGCCGTCGAGACGAACCTAGCTATCATCACGGCCTCGGCCCCGGCGCTGCGCGGCCTCTTCCTCCGCTGGTTCCCCAAGTTCTTCGCCTCCCTCAAGAGCTCCTCCAACGGCCGCTACGGGGGCGGCTACAACCGCAGCGGCGACCCGACGAAGAAGTCCCGCAACACGGTGGCTACGGCGACGGCAACCACTGGCACCAGAGGCCGCTCGAATACCACGCGCAACGCCGCCGACGCCTTCCAGCTCAAGAGCATGAAGGGCCGGTCCGAGATCCGGGGCCACTCGCCCACAACGAGCGAGGAGGAGATCATGACGTACGACGGGATCATGCGCACGACGGAAGTGAATATCGTGTACGACGAACGACGGGATTCGACGCCGCGAGGGGGTGGTGGGAGGAGAGATGCTGCGCCTAGGGATACGGGGGCTGGAGTTCCTGGTAAACGTGATTACGACGCAAAGCTATATTCGACAACCAGCTCGGGAAGTTTCTGAGAAAGAAGGCGGGATCCTTTTTTTTCTACTTTCTAATACAAGCCTTTACTATTGATGATCATGCACACAAGAGTGCCAAATACATAGCGAAGAACGTCCTGTTGATACCTTTGACAACTAGATAGACCAAAGAGAAACCCTCCACTGGGGTTGCATGTATTAATATGCTGTGCTATAGCATGAAGCTGACCCAGGAAACAGAAATAGACAGTTCACGCACCCCTCCACCTGGAAACTTTGTCACTCAACTTGACACTTATCCAATGGAACCTCACCGCTTTGACATTGCATGAATGGCCAATATCAAACCTGCGTTATTACCCCGCGTGATCTGGGCTTACGAGTCTTCGCGGCTCTGCAACTTGCGAAAAAGTTTGCAACGACGCAACCTCAAGCAACCCCGTTTTTGACTACACATCAACATACATGAATCGCAGTAGGTAGTATTCCGAAGGAAAACAACTTGGAATGCGGCAACGATGGCAGAGACGTTTTTGCAGTCGCCCACCGGAAGGGATAAAAAGCATAGTATTAACCGCCGCCAACCAAATACGACAGCGATTTTCCCTGTCATGACATTGTCAGAAAAGCTGTTTAGCTTCTTCGTCCTCTTTCTTTCCTTTCTTGGATGAACAGTCGCAATACCCAACTTACTTACTCCACGGGTGGATGAGTGACCCTACTCGGAGCGGAGAATTGCGCCGGTGAGTGATCACTGCCCAACTTTCCAAGTCTTGAAGAATGTTTCTAGGGATATTGCGCATGCCGGACCGAGTCGTGGCATCGCGCTATTTTCTCCCAGTCACACTCTCTCTGTGTCTTATCTTTTTTGGAAGCGGACCAGGATTGAATCCTGCGAACTTCCTTCGTCTGATCATCGAATGATATAAATGGTAGTTTTCCATTTGAGTTCTACCCGTTCAAGGCGCTATTGCCTCTCCAACTGTACTGTGCATATGCCGGCGCTGCATATGTACCTAGCCCTGAATTGCTCGTACCATGCTCCGATAGATCATCCTGGGACAGGGTCGCTGATTGGGGGCTTTTGGCGTTTCTTCGTAGAAGAAGTTGGTCAATCCATCTTTTTTTCCGTAGGCCGTACGGTAGGCAGGCAGGCTCCCCCGCTGCGCAAGCCATACTGGAAGAGAAGATGGGTTGGATGATCGTGTGCTGGGCTTGGCGAGGGTCTCCCTGTGCATACTTTACATAGTAGAACTAGAGGGGCGCATATCTAGGCCAGATGGCACGGATAACGTAGAGCGCAAAGCTCAGGTAGACCGCTGAAGGTAAACATGGTCAGCTAAGGACCCGTGGCTCGATCAGTGCTAGCCGCTCGAATCTCTCCGAAATGATCTTCCCCAGAGGCTTTATGGTACGGTATCACGTATCTGTAGGTGTTGTCCAACCTTGCTGCTAGACCACATGATGCCTTGTCAGATGTTTGGGATATGTGATAGCACTGCACCCAGATGCGAGATGATGCGAGCTGCGAGAAACGGGCCTAGTATCATTACGGTGCGGTGTAGGCGGAACATCGTCGAAAGACTGGCCATGACTCGACCTTGAGGGTTGACGGCATTTTTCAGCTGTGGTCCGTCCACCACCGAGTCCCGAAAGACGAAACGACGATGCTGCCGAGAATTGCGATGTATCTCCTCTTGCCTGCCGCCGAGTCTCTCGGCACGAGGTGTCGCGCAGCCGCATGCCTGCTCGTAGATCATGTCAAATTGGGTACGATTCCAGAAGTCGAGGCGAGCCTTCTTTTGGAACGTCAACCTTCACGGGCTTGGGCCCCCCTCATCAATCTCTTCTCTGAAAGTCCATCGGAATCATCCGTGCCATCTGCCGATTCACGCGATGGATGTGTTCATCTCAAGTTGAGAAGAAGTTGGATGCAAGCCGTGATGAAGCAGGAGCAAGAAGCCCTCGGATGGAATATGCATTAGATGATGATGATGTAATTATGCGAGTTGACCCAATTGAGTCTCCCGCAACAACGGTCGGGTCGCGGAACCCCACCGCGGGGTAGTCGACGGCACCAGAGCTTTCTATGTAATTGAATGACATTTTGGTCGACACTTGACCTGACGCAAATCGTTTGGCAGACATCACTCAGGAGGCGGGCAGACTCTACTTCACTTTGGAAACTATCCTCCTGCACCAAGGACGCACTCGTAATTCAAAAACATGGCAGGCAAAGACGTGGTCGTGACCGGAGCCACTGGTCTCCTCGGAAGACAGGTATCGCGGGCGTTTGATATGAAGAGTTGGAACGTCAAGGGTACGGGATACTCTCGCGCCGACGGCGTCTCCGTCTTCAAAGTCGACCTCGGCAAAACCTCTGAAGTTGAAAAGTTCCTCGACGAATCCAAGTAAGGCTGCCATTCTCATGCTTGTCCAAGACCATACGTTACTGACATATATTGCCAGGCCTCAGGTAGTCGTGCACTGTATGTATATCACAACGTCTTCTCATGAGACCAGAACTCCAGCACACACTCACACAACAGTATAAACAGGCGCCGCCCAGAGGTTCCCAGACAAGGTCGACAGCGACCCGGACGCCGCCCGCGCCCTTAACGTCGAGGCCACACGGTCCCTCGCCAAGCTCTGCGCCGCCCGCTCGACCCTGCTCATCTACATCTCAACCGACTACGTCTTCTCCGGAAAACAGGGGGACGCCCCCTACGAGGCCGACGCGCAGACGGGGCCGACAAACCTCTACGGCCAGACCAAGCTGGACGGCGAGCGCGCCGTGCTGGAGGAGTACGAGGCCGCTGGGCCCGGTGCCGCGGGGCTGGGCCTCGTCCTCCGTGTACCTGTGCTGTACGGCAAGGCGGACACGCCGGCGGAGAGCGCGACGAATGTTCTCATGGACACGTTGTGGAAGACGCAGGACGGGGGCGCCAAGGTGAAGATGGATCACTGGGCGATTCGGTACCCGACCAACACGGAGGATATTGGGCGCGTGTGTCACGGTAATTGCAGGCCACGTCGCGCGTGAAGATTTCATGACTGACAGAAGTACAGATATCGCCGACAAGTACCTCGGGGCCGAAGACCGCAGCTCGTTTCCCAGGATCCTGCAGTTCTCTAGCGAGGACAGGATGACAAAGTACGAGATTTGCCAAAAGTTTGCAGATATCATGGACCTTTCCATGGACGGCATCATTGCCAATACGGAGGGCAACGACCCAAATGCGAGCGTGCAGCGGCCGTACGACTGTCATCTCAGCACGCGGGCTCTCAAGGATTTGGGCATTGATGTGTCGACGAGCGACTTCATTGGGTGGTGGAGGCGGGAGGTGCATGCTTTCCGGCACTGAATCTGGCTTCATCTCGTCTCACTGGGATAGATATTTCTATCTGGACAGTTCTGGTGCACAGATTCGAACCTGACTAGATCAACAGCGTGATGAAGAAGGGGGGGGGGGGGGGGGGGGTGCACAGGACGAGGGCCTTTCTGGTTGCAGACATGATGTGCCCGTCTCTACTCGATTTTCTACCCGATGCTGGCATGTTTATTGAATCGCAATGGTTCAATCGATGGGCAGAGACATCGATAAGTGGCAGATATGGATCTAGGTAGGCTGTTTGACTTGTCTTGAGCGGGCAGTAAAGCAGAGGTCGATTAATATGAAAAGGAATAACCTCGAGGAAGAAGAACGAAACATAAGATTATCTAAAGAACCCGAAGTATAATGCTCCACGCGTAGTAGAACCTCTTCCGGGATTAGAAATGTACTCCTTCATAGAATGCTAGGTTTCAGGCTGTTCTTGTTCCCTTTGACTGTTAACCCGCGAAGGTAAAAACAACCTACAGCTCACTGCCATGATGCGTGTGCATTAGGTGGTTCCCGGATATAAAGGAAATGTAAGAGAAATCGGAGAAATGGCGAAGTATGGGAACTCGGATCGGGCAGGTAAGTTACCTCAAAGAGCGAGGGGATCCTGTCAGCTAATATTGGAGCGATCCAAGGCAAATCATATGCCATATGACGAGCAACGTGAGGCAATTTCAAAACCGTGACTTTTGCATCTCGCTGAAATTACAACCCTGCTTACACGGACTCACCGATCGTGGGGGATTCTGCCCAGGCCGAGGTCGCGTCAATCGTACGAGAGAAACTGTAAACACTGACACGTTGAGAGGGAATCGGGGATGTGGTCTGGAATGTAGAGCTTGCTCGTTCCTGAACCACCATCCACCTTCTATGGGGTGCAAATTGGACGAAGAACGACTGGCATTTGGCAAAGGACGTGCGGTGTCGCGCTCTCGTTGTGCTTTGCATGCCTCTGGTCACACATGGCCCCCCCTTCAGCTGACGCGTAGTCTGCTGAATGCTGAATGGCGAACAGGTAAGGTAAAGTAAGGTAAGGTGAATAGAGAGAAAAGATGAGGCGATTCCTGGGAGAGATGTAAAAAGCCTCCCTTGCCTTCCGTCTTGGAAGGTAGGAAGGTCCCCGACTTATGGGAAGGAGAGGTCTTGCCACATTTTCTTCTTCTCCCCTTCCTTCTTTCCTCCTTCGCTTTTTGCTCCTGGTTTTGCCTGCTTGCTGCTTCCTGCATCAACGTCGTCTTTTGCTTGTACGACACGACAACTAAATTTCCCATCATCGTCAACTTACTTACTTTGCTTATTGCTTCAACTCTAAAGTGCTACTATTGTAGCCACATAATCTAATCAATATTACCTCACATCTTACTTTTACTTTTACCTTTTTGCGAACCCCCGTCAAATATTTCCCTACCCGGGAACCGAAAAAACAAGTTTTGTCGGGACGGACCACCCCCTATCAATCTCAACTTTCGTTATCTATCACTTGCAGAGAGATCTGCAGGGTCCTGGGGCAGCACCGCGGCAGCAATCAAAGGAAGGGGAAAAAAGAGCAAAGGCTGCAAGATAACGTTCAAGTGTTCCCTGTTGGGCTGGGGGCGATCAGCTCGGAGGGTTCCAAGGTTCCAGCGGACTGGGCCGCAGCCGCACAACGCCGTCGCCGCTACCATCGACGCCATCGGATCAGAAAATCTGGGGTTCTGATTTCGAGACCCTGTCTAGCATTGCATCGCATCGGGCAAACAGTTCAAGGGAAAGGTTATCGAAAACGACGACGACACTGTCGAGGGAGAGAAGAGAGAAACGAGCTCTGGAAACGAAATAACACAATCACTTTACACACAAATCGCGCACCCACACACACGCACCCACCATGGAAGGGTTTTCGCGTATTAATCGCACCATGTCGGCAGGCCCAGGGCCACCGAAATCGCCCGCGCCGCATCCACCCCGACGGGGCCAGAGCGTTACCGCCGGGAGGCTCACGCGGTACAGGAGCGTGCGGGAGCACAAGAGCGTGTTGGACTTTGGACGCAACTGGCGGGACTGGGAGGTGGATATTTTCCAGGACGACGAGACGGTGTCGAATGCGACGACCGAGACGGGTACGGCGACGAGCATTGCGTTGGGTCTAGGCATTGGGATTGCCGTGGACGAGGAGGAGGAAAGTGGCGTTGCTGGTGATGATGGACAGACATCGGTCTCGTCGCCGCATCCTCAGTATCAGTATCAGCATCAGCAGCAACCACAGCAGCAGCAAACACCAGCTTCGTCGGCAAGGAGGAGGCGCACGGCGCCGTTGCTGTCGACGCCGCCGCCGCAGACCCCATCGGGAGCACCGCAATTGACTATGCAATGGCAGTGGCCCGACCTCATGGCCGATACCGGCGTCAGCGACGGTTCATCTCCGTTTGATTTCGACAATTCTTCGGTCAGTCGTGGTGCAGTAACACCAGGAGATGAAGGCTATGGTGCGAATTATTATTGTCGTGGGGGTGTTGATGCTGGAGATGGTGCGGTTGGCGGTGGAAAAAGAATGGCGGTCCCAGCCCCTCCCGAGTCCCCCGTGCGGTTCAGCTACCCCAATCGAAGGCGACCAACCAAGACGGCCCCCAAACCGGATCTTGACGACAGCTGGAGCCCCTTGCATGGAAGCTCGTCTCCTCCTTTTTTTTCTTCTTCGCCGCCTTCTTCGTCTCCAAAATCCCCTACCACTACGACTACGGATACCAGGTCATCTCCTGCGGGTGGTCGTGCTAGTTGTATTGCTGGTGGTGGGAGTGCAACTGGAACAGACGCATGCGGCCCCTATGGCCCCAGACCCCCAAGCGAACCAGGTTCCCTATTCTCCCTAGCGCCGTCCTATTCCGGGTCCACGTCCCCAGCCCCAGGGGTTCCAGGGGTTCCAGGGGTTTCCTCCACTCAGGCCGCCCCTTTGTACGCCTTGGGCCCCTGTCCGTCGGCCCCGTCTGCAGGATCAGCGTTATTACCACCAGCGCCAGCGTCAGCTGCTGATGCGTCTGCTTCTGCTCCTTGGTCTGCGGCACCGAAACCGAACCTCCTTGTACCACAACCACCAACACCGCTGACGACAGTACCTCCTACACCACCATTGCCCGTGGTCGCAGCAGTTCCAGTCGTCCGCGCATTCGCACTTGCGCCTGCATCTGCTTCTGCGCCAGCGCCAGGAGAAGGATTCCAAGGAACGGCACCACTTGAACCAGTTACACCACCGCCGCCAATACCGCATCACCCTCCTCCTCCTCCTCCTCCCCCTCCACCACCACACTCGCTATTACATCGAACACAACCATCTCCTCCTGGATTGGGACTGGGACTGGGACTGCTTCCGTTGCCCTTCCCGGCTCAAGGCCAAGCCAGAGTCCAAGCCCAGGCACATCATACCCGAGCACGCGACCTCGTCCCGCCTCCCGGTCTCCATCTGCGCCCTCGTTCGCACAATCCAATCTTGGTTTCTTCCCACTCGTCATGCGCCGACCTGAAGCTCGCTGCCAGGGCTGAACACGCTCGCTCTCAAATCATCACCAAGCTCGCTCTCCAACCCGACCTTGACAACAACTACTACACCTCCAACAACACCAATAAGGAGGAACTCCACAACAGCAACGACCCCAACTGGGACCAGCAACTTGCCCGTCAAGAAGAAGATCGACAGCGCCGGCGCCACCAACAACACCACCAGCAACTGCTCGCTCAGGAAGAAGAGGAGCACCGACGTCGCAAAGAACAGGAAGAGGAGGACGCTGCTCGCTGGGCCGAAGAGGTTGCTCGTCTTGAAGCAGAGACCGATCGCATTTTAGCAGACCAAAAGGCAAAAGACCTTGCGAGACTCTCGGCTCAATTGGCAGACCAAAAGGCAAAGGACCTCGCTCGACTCCAGGCTCAATTGGCTGCCGTACCCGACGCACCAGCCTCCCGTGTCCGGAGCCCCATTGTCGACAAGTTCACCTTCTTCTTGAGAAAGGGTCGCAAGTCCGACCCTGCCACTACTCTCACAAAACCTCCCTCTCAATATTTTCAACCCCTCACCCTTGATCACAGGCCCGTCAGTGTCATGGACCCCTCCCGCTTTATACAAGCCGGTGGTGGCGGCATTGTCCCCCAGACAGATGCTCCGACCTCTGCCAGCAATGCTGGAGAACGCGTGAGTCTTTCCCTCATATTGATCAATGATCTTGACCCTCATCTTTTTGCTAATTTTCCCCTCTCATAGCGAGTGACGATACGTTGCATGCAATCGTCAATCAGTCTTCCCGTCACCCCGGATACTACCCCGAGTGAGATTCTATACTCGGCCGCCAACCTCATGACCCACAATATCAACCCGCAAACCAGTGTCGTGCTCGAGTGCTACTTTGCGTTTGGTCTGGAACGCCGCCTGAGACGCTATGAGCCAGTGGCTCTCGTGATGAATTCCTGGGACCGCGATACGCAGCACTGCCTACTCATCGTACCGGGTGAACCTACGGACAAGAACCCCGACCTGAACATCGAAAGTGTGCCCCGCACCATCGATCCGCCCCCAGGTCTCATCAACTTCGCGCTATACCACTCTCAGCGGCCCGGTAAATGGAACAAACGCTACGTCACGCTCCTGGAGACTGGGCAAATGTTCTCGGCCAAGAAGAAGGATGCCAAACTGTCGGACAAGGATGCCGTCTCGCTCTGCCATCTGTCCGACTTTGACTTATATACAGTCACCGAAAAGGACATGCTGAAGCAGATTAGAGCTCCAAAGAAGAATTGCTTTGCCATCAAGAGTCAACAGAAATCAACAGTCTTCCAGAATACGGAAAACTTCATTCACTTCTTCGCCACGGACGATGTCAAGCTCGCGGAAGACTTCCAGAGAGTCGTGCAAGGGTGGCGTAGTTGGTACATCGCAAACAAGATAGTTGACTTGAACAAGAAAAAGTCATCTACACACAGCAGCAGTGCGAGAAGCGGAACAAAAACGGGCGGCGGCGGTCTCACACGAAGCGGCACTTTGCACCGGCCCCGGCCATCCACCGAAGAGACGCCATACACCATTGGAACGTTCTCTCCGCTCCTGGACATGGACAGGTTCGAGAAATCGATTGACGACTTTGGGAAGGATTTGGACAACAAGCCGACGGCCCGACCGGCGGACCATCACTCTACACCCAGACACATCCAGTCTCAAAAGGTTGTCTCTCGATCTAGGACCACGCCGAATCTGTCGCAGCCTCAGACAAGGAGACTCATCGACCCCTTTGCCAAAGACGAGTTCAAATCCGGCGGTCTGCTGGGCCAGGCTTACGAGGGACGCAAGCAGCAAGCAGAGAAGGCTGCTGCCACCGCAGATCATCAACAATATGCAGTTGATAGTCCGTTCACCGGTGGGCACTCGCTGCTCGGCCAGTTCCCAGAACACGAAAACAACGGGATGCCGCAGAGAAGAGGCACGGTGCGTTCGTCTCGTCCTACGGCGACGGACCCTATGCCCCAGCCGCGGAGTCGATCACGGCCACCCGCCGGACGCCCGACCACATCATCGCGTCCCAAGACATCAGACGGCGGGTCATCTTCAGGGAAACGAGAGATGCCTCAACCTCTTGTCGACCTCACGCCGAAGGTGCCAGACCTGCCCGCAGCTTGGCGAGATGGTCAAGGTCGCGGTGTACGGGTGCCCACTGGGAAGCCCCTGATCGAGATGGCGACTGGGCTGGAGCTGCCAGACGGACACCTCGGGCCGCAGCTGCCAACTGTCACCCGAATGGGCACGGCAAAGGCGTACCCCCCTCAACGTATGGCGTCGCAGTCGGCCGCTTCGAGACCACGGAGTAGGTCCACGGCAGGCGGTGGTGCTGTACGTCGCGTGGTTTCCAATGAGCAGCAACCTCCTATGCCATCTATGCCGCGGCGATCGTCAAGAAGGGATGACGATGACGTTCCGCTCATCAACTTTGTGGAACGCGAAAGGGGCCGCGATACGAGGCCTCGCATGTCGCAGGGCATGTCGCAAGGTCTCGGGCGGAGTGGTACCGTCAGGCACTGAGGGGTCACACGAGAGCGGATGGCGGCGGCGCTCTGCTGAAGACTGGAAAGTGCCACCGACGTTGTAAAACCAAGAGAAAAAGAAGAAGAAGCGGGAGAGCGGATCTTGCAGTGGACGCGATTTAGGGCGCATAGGGTGGTGTCATTTAACATGTAAGATACCCGGATGTTGACGTGACAAAAGCATGTCGGTCACCAAAAAGCTTTTGGAGGGGGAACCAAAAAGAAGGAAACATTTTGTTTTCTTTTAGTTTATCTACCTGCCTACCTTACTAGGTACCCCATAGTCAGGGACATTTTCCTTTGTTTTACTCTTAATACGGATTTATTTTTTTCATGCTTTCTAACAGTTCTATTGTTTGGGTTGGTGTCATCATCGTCAATCAATTGGACTCTGGTATCTGTCTTTCTTCTTTTTCTTCTCCAAAATGTTCCACATGCAGAATCCGCTCCTGACTTTGTAACATGATGCCGCGCCAAATACACGCGCGCCTGCCCCCCTTGCATTAGTAACTATACTTTTGTCGTAAGTCTATTTGGAGCGCTTGTAGATCTTGGCCAAGAAGATTTCAAAGATGCCCTTCTTGAGGCCCTCGCTCTCGTCAATGTTGTTAATCATGTCCTTGATCTCGCCGGCACGCTTCTCCTCAAACTCTTCGAAGCGGCGCTTGAGCTCCATGTCGTCAAAGAGCTTCTTGATGACGGCCTCCTTGGCCTTGTCCTTTTGGCCGTAGTTCTCCTCGAGGATGGTGCGCTGTTCGGGGGTGGCGATGGCGAGGGCCTGGTTGACGAGCCAGCTGCACTTGTTGTCCATGATGTCGGTGCCGATCTTGCCAATGTGCTCGGGCAGGCCAAAGTTGTCGAGGTAGTCGTCCTGGATCTGGAAGTACTCGCCGAGGGGGATGAGGATATCTTCGGCCTGCTTGAGGTTCTTGGGGGTGGCGATGTTGAGGCAGTGGAGGGCGAGGGCGACGGGGAGGTAGAAGGAGTAGTAGGCCGTCTTGTAGACGACGATGAAGCGGTACTTCTCCATGGAGAAGTTGTCGAGGTTAACTTTTTCCTCCGGGGCGGTGAGGAGGTCGCAGAGCTGGCCGAGCTCGGTCTGGAAGGTGACTTCGTGGAAGAGCTCGAGGAGGTCGACGTAGGAGGCGTGCTCGCGGAAGAATTTCTTGAGGAGGGTGTAGATTGCGGCCTCGAGCATGAAGGCGTCGTTGATGGCGACCATGCCGACGCCTTCATGGCGGTACCAGCAGGGCTTGCCGCGGCGGGTGATGGAGCTGTCCATGATGTCGTCCGAGACGAGGAAGAAGGCCTGGAGAAGCTCCGTCATCCAGCCGAGGGTGGCGGCTTGGAAGTACTCTTCCTCGGAGAGGGGCTTGTCGAGGAGGAGGGAGACGGAGTCGGGGACCGACATGCCGCGGTTGCATTTTCCGCCGAGGGTGTTGATTTCGAGACTCTGTTGGCGAAGGCTGTTAATCGTCGGTGTTCTTCTACAGTTTTCCCCTTTTCTTTGAGAATGAGATTGTCGCCGCACATGCGCTCACACGCATAGCCTCATATCCAATCACTGAGACAGTAGAGGAGGTGCTAGCAGCAACATCGTTGGGGATTGTCGGGGGTCGGTGTGGCTAAATGCTTGCCTTCTTGTACCACGCCAGCTCCTCCTTGGGAAGCTTGTACTTTTGCGCATGCTCGAGAAGGACCTCCTCGAGCTTAGGGAAAACCGACTCGAACTCGGTGAGGGTAGTCTTCTTGGCCATCTTGTTTTGATTTGCGGTGTGGTCTGAGGGCCGGCTCGGCGGGGTGGCTGGATTAGGGGGCAGTTGGTTGCAACGGTCTTTTGGAGGCGTTCGAGGAATAGGTTAGCCACGAGAGCGAAAACGGAGTGGAGGTATCGTGGGGAGAGAGGGAGAAGAGGGGGTTTAGGGAAGGGGAAGGAAGAATCAAGGAGACAAAGGTGGACGAACAATGGCAGCGAGAGAGTGAGTAAGAGAGAAGATGGTTGGGAAATTTACTTACGCAAGTTTGCGATAGCAATCCGAAATTAATGCGCCCGCGTCAAATTAGAGCCAACTCGTACAAGATGAGAAAGTGTACCCCTCATCCGATCTTCAGTTGCTATTTTGGCAGGCGGTGGGGGGGCGATTTCCTAGACGGTCCCTGATGTTGCCGGGATAAGTGGGGTTTCGGGATGACAGGCGCCCCACGACATCCAATTGACTTCCGCTTCACGACCGTGGCGGGGTCCCAGTTACCTAAGCTCACCAAAGTTTATTGGATTGGCTGCACACGCTGTGTTGCTCACCGTGGGCGGCCAGGTACACCGTAGGTCACTTTAGCGTTGTCGCGCCCGGCGCGTGGTGGGAATCCTGGGCGGACCGCTTCCTTTTCTGCCGTTGAGCTTTACTACGTCAGGACAAGGAATCACAACACTCGCATCGCCAGTTCCCGCAGCCCTGTATCCTTGCATTTCGTCTCGCAGTCCTCGCCTTTGCGCCTTGAGGTCATAGACAGTCAAGTTAAGAAGCGATTGTTGTGCACCTTGAACTAAGGCGCTCAATTGAACGTTGCTTCGATTCACTTCCCCACGAATTGGAACCGACGCGACAGGAAGCGCAAGACCGAGCGACTCAGCTTTTGGCCCTTTGGCTAAGGATGCGCAGAGATGTCACTCAACGAGAATGAGCTGTCACAACTCCGCGAGTCTCTGCAGGATGCCGTAGTCAAGTGCTCCGAGCGGTGTCTATACTCCTCTGCGAAATGGCAAGCTTTACAAAGCCCCCTTGCGAGAGAGAGACTCCACGGCTGACCTCGATCCCAGGGCCGCAGAGCTTCTCAACGCCATACCCGAGCCTTCGAACGACGCCGACCCCGCCGATGCCGATGCCCAGTACGTTCCGACAGTCTTCACCGTGAATGCCGATCCCGAAGAAGCCCTCCTCGAAGCCAAAGAGATCAACAAATACTTACTCGCCAAGACCCTCTTTGACTCAAGGGAGTTTGATCGCTGCGCTGCTGTCTTCCTACCCGATTCAGTACTATCCGGTGTTTTGAGCTCCAACGCGGATGGGCCGTCGGCGGCGTCGAAGGGGAAGTCAAAGACAAAGACGAGAGGGGACAGCGAGACGACGAGGGCAGCTGGCGGCAGCAGCACCGAGCTGCCCCGGCTCAGTCAAAAGAGCTTATTCCTCGCCCTGTATGCAAAGTTCATGTCCGGGGAAAAGCGCAAAGACGAGGATTCGGAGATGGTCATGGGACCCCAAGATTTGGGCAACATCGTCAACAAGCAGTTGAACGCCGTCAGCCGGTTCCTCAGCAACTGGTTCGACGAGCGGACGACAGATGACGGAGACATCCTCGGCAGCCAGGGCTGGCTGGAGTATCTGTGAGTAGGCGGCATGCTTCTCCTTCCCTCGTCCTCAAGCGTGCAACTGCTGACTGGAGGCCAGATACGGCATGGTGCTCGCAAAGGAGAAGAACGAAGACAAGGCGATGGACTACTTCGTGCGAAGTGTCCACCTGTACCCCATGAACTGGGGCTGCTGGCTGGAGATGACCCAACTCATCTCCCGGATAGACGACGTAAGTCTTTGGTTCTGCCGATGTGCCCAAGAACCTGGAAACACTGACGAGTGCACAGTTGAGTCGAATTGCCGAGCATCTCCCGCAAAACATCCTCTCCTTCATCTGGCACCTCTACACCTCGCTCGAGCTCTACCAGGCTACACCCGAACTCGCCAACTCGTTGGATTCACTACTCGGAATATTCCCAAACTCATCCTTCCTTCTCACATGCAACGCTATGTTATCATATCATTCGAAAGACCTCGTTGCCGCTGAACAACATTTCAGTCGATTGCTGTCTCTCCATCCCCACCGGCTAGAGTCATTAGACCACTACTCCAATATTCTCTACGTCATGAACTTGAGACCTAAACTTGCCTTCCTTGCGCACCTCTGCTCGAGCATCGACAAGTTCCGGCCAGAGTCTTGCGTGGTGGTGGGCAACTACTACTCACTGCTATCCATGCACGAAAAGGCAGTGCAGTATTTCCGCCGAGCGTTGACCCTCGACCGAACATGCCTGTCAGCATGGACACTCATGGGTCACGAGTACGTGGAGCTGAAGAACACCCACGCCGCCATAGAATCGTACCGACGCGCCGTCGACGTCAATCGCCGGGACTACCGAGCTTGGTACGGCCTCGGCCAGACGTACGAAATGTTGGAAATGCACACCTACAGTCTATGGTACTATAAAAAGGCAGCCGGACTGAGACCTTGGGATGGCAAGATGTGGCTTGCCGTCGGCTCGTGTTTGCAAAAGATGGGCCGTGACCAGGATGGTATCAAGGCGTTGAAGAGAGCTTTGCTGGCAGACGCATATTACGACGTTGGGAGCAGCTTCGGAAGCGGAGGGGATCTGCTCAATGGCAGAGGCGCGACGGGTCACCTGGATCCGGAGCTGCTCTTCCAAATTGCGAGCATGTACGACCAGCTCGGCGAAGAGGAGGAATCAAAAGCCTACATGGAACTTTGTCTGGCTCAGGAGGGCGGGGAAGCCGCGGACAACGTCTTGAACGATTCGATCGCCATACACAACGACTCACCAGGCGCATCTGACGATGAAGGTAATGGCGAAGGCCGCAAGGAGGGCGGAAACGAGGGAACTGGTGTCACGGCATCGACGAGCAAGGCGCGAATGTGGCTCGCCAAGCACGCCATGCGGACGGCGGACTACAAGACAGCGAACCGACTGGGGACTGAATTGACGCAAGATGGCTTCGAGGTCGAGGAGGCCAAGGCTTTGGTGAGAGAGGCCAGGGTGCGCATCAGAAGTGCGGAATTGGGCGTCAGTCCCTGAGTCTGGCACGAGAAAAGGCAGCACCGGGAATTGCTTCGGCTCCGGGGAACGACTCGTACAACAAACGGGCAACCCGCGCTAACGGGAGCCGAAAAGCCAATAGTGTCGAGAACATTGAGTGTCGTATGAAATGTCGTTGACACTACATGTTCATGTCTACCAAGCGTCCACAAATAGATGAGGCGAAGAAAAGGGAGTGCTGAGGGACTATGCTTATGATGATTGTTCAAGTATCCGGGCGTAAAATAAAGAGATACCACATTGCCTCGGAAACCTAGGACGTTGTAATGCTTCGAGCGTCGTGAATTCCATCAGAGACCTGGGAAACAAGGCTACCCACATGTATATAAGTGCAAGGGAGACTGGCAGGTTCATCATACCTAACCTTGCGCAATCGCAGGACCAAATCCGGCGCCGGCCCCGCGGCACTCTCCCCGCCTCCATGTTTTCCCCTCCGCATCTGACTGCCCTCGCCCATATAAAGATCCCAAGACTTCCACATAGCCTCAAGATCGGGCCCCCCAACACCTTGTCCACCGCCGCCCATGACGGTCAGTGAGGTTACAACGTATAGCATGATGGGGGGCATCGTATTAGACGTTATAGGAGAACCAGACACTAATACATAGTGACGAGTGAAGAAGGCGGGGTGGATTGGCGGTTGGATTGGGCGTGAAAGCGGAATACGAGAACACCCACCCACGCCTAACCCGTCTTTGAACCCCTACTACCCACGTTGACGATTACGTCCACGCCCGCTTCGTACCTACGTGATTGACGCAAGCCTCTTCTTTTCCCGCGAACCACGTGCTTGGCTCTTTTTTTGCTGGGGGTGTGGTGTGGAATACGAAGAGCGTGCATGAAGAGACGGTGGAGAGGCAGTGGGGGAGGGGAAACGACAAAAACCCGCTACTCTGATCTGACCTCTAGTCTCAACCATCAATCACCCCATTCCGTCCATCGCTGCCGCAAGATACACTATACGGGCGCTATATTTCTTATGCTTCTCTCTGGCGCAGCAGAGATTCTGCCTTTTCCGGACCATGCCGGGGGCGGGTCGTGCTGGTGTAGTTGTTAGAGAGGCTTCTTTGTGTGGGTGTATGTGTCTGGCTCGTTGCCTGGCCTTTTTGGTTGGGGCACATTCGCAGTTCAATGGGAGGGTGTATGCGGTCAGCTGCGACTTTGCAATTATTGAATCTTGGCGGACGTGAAGACTGCATTGTTCACTGCAGCGGCTCTTATCATTTTCCCTCTTCCTCTCTCTCTCTCTCTATCGGACACATCAGCTGAGGGAGGAATGAAATCCCTAATCGAGAAATGTAAGATGCTTTCTTGTAAAGATTGTCTTGTTTCTTGGTGGAGAGCTCCCATGATGGAGTACTTCCACTTTCTGAACTATGATTACCATTATCTCTTCGTAAGGACTGTATGCAACCCAATATGGCAAAACACTCCCTATACTCCCGCCAGATGACCGCCGTTGTGTCCTAAACTTCAAAAATTTGCCATAGGGTATCTTAAAAAGAGCCGAGATGATTCTCCGGTGTGTTCACCTCTCCCAACTTTTGCCGGCCGTAAATGAAGGTGATGAAAGTATAAAAAAAAAAGGCCAATTCGTCAGGTATACTCCGTTCTCTGTTCCTAAGGAGTATATCGTCTCCCTCCCTGTTCGCCTTGGATTAAATCCCCGAATCCATAATATTGGATCAAATCAGCAGGGCGAATAGGACAGCAACCAATGCCGCGCCG